ATTACTCCAAGGTCGATCGTTCCGCCGCCTACGTTGCGCGCTGGATCGCCAAGTCTCTGGTCAACGCCAAGCTTGCCCGCCGTGCCCTTGTCCAGCTCTCCTACGCTATTGGTGTCGCTGAGCCCCTCTCCATCTTCGTTGAGAGCTACGGTACATCCTCCAAGACCTCCGACGAGCTGGTCCAGATCATCCGCGACAACTTCGATCTCCGTCCTGGTGTCATCGTGAAGGACCTTGACCTGGCCAAGCCCATCTACTACCAGACCGCCAAGAACGGTCACTTCACCAACCAGGAGTTCTCCTGGGAGTCACCCCGTGCCCTCAAGTTTTAAGCGGGCTCTGCTTAATCCGGTGACTCCGGACGATTTTTGACGACTGTGATGATTTGCTTTGTTTTCAACAACTCAAAGCACGATGAGCATAGACTATAAAAAACCCTCATAAAATCCAGAAGTTAGTTTCCACTCGGGGACCAACTTCTCTTGTTTCATTATCTGCATGGTCGCGCAAATGACGGGCCTTTTCGGCGAAGACAAAATTCAACATGATACCACTTTTCATCGGCTGGGAAAGGAAATTTTTGGCGTTTTTCTGGAGCGAAAGTCTTCAACACTACCTCTCTACCTCACTGTCCATGGTACCTACGAGGAGCCTTTGGTCCTGCTTCCACGCTGGATCATGCTCTATCGGTTTCGAGGGAACCTTCATGGCACTCTCTGCGAGAGTCTCTTGAGGGTTCTTTTCGTCTTGGTCCTGGGCCTGCTAATCTAAACATTAGCGATAGATTCATAATATTATATCTTTTTTTCATATATTGCTTTTGGAAGTATACCACTAGTTTAAGTATTTTTTAACGTACTCAAGCCTTCTAGGAAAGCAATTCCAATATCTATAGATGAACTTCTTGAGACAGTCCCTCGACCACTGCATTGAAATCAATTAACGTGTCTTACATTGGTCCAGGCGGAGTGCACGTCCCGACGCGTGACGCCCGACCCGCCCAGATTTGAGCGCGATCTGTCGACACCTACACAACCAACGTCAATTGCTTTTTCTAGTTTAGCATAGGACTTGACTCTTGCGTTCAAATTACAGGATGCCTACTATTTCCTAGACGGGACCATGGCCTCGCGTATAGTCCCCAACATCCTGGATCCGCTCAGTTCATCCGCGCTGAACAAACTCCACGAACCAACCCCTCCACCCATAAAGAAGCGGAAAAGATGCGATCAAGAGGAGCTAAACAATACTGGACATCTTGCTACCTGTTCTATCGTCATAAGAGTGAGTTACGCCTATAGTTGGCCCAGCATACGCTCAATCCATTAGTTGCTGTTGCTCACTCTTCTGACCATAGGCTCACTCGGCGTCTTTATCTGATGAACCCTTGATCCTCGAACCAATTACCGCACTCCCCCGCACAAGGCTTCCCCTCTCATGGCTTGACGACACGCCCGCCTCTCGATCCGATGAGCAACCAGGCGGCCTTTTCACTGCGGACATTCCCACTCTAGAAATTGATCTGCGCGCAAACATGGAGCCAACTGTTCTCGCTGTACGCCTGATCCCCAACGGTGGACTCTACATTATCGAGAGGGTGAAGAGGGGCATATACTCTCTCTCCAAGCTCGCTCGATGGGTGCACGAGGGTAATCTCGCTGTTGCGGCCAAGGAGTGGCATAGAACTAACACGGCGGAGGTGGATGCCGTGGCTGTCGGCGAAACCGGTGCTATTTCTGATGGGGCTGACTGGTGGCAAATTGCTCAGATCGACGGGTCTCTCTCTGACATTGAGATAGGCGAAGAGTCTGCTGGGTTGGATATTGCGTTTGTCTTTGGTCCGTCCGAGTCGGATCTTGGGAATACCGAGGCACCCTTTGTGGGTGTTGTAGAGCATCGGAGTCATTCGCTTGCTCCGTCGAGGAGTTTTGATGCCGCTGAAGGGGGTTCTTTCTTGCTTCCTGAATCTCAGGGCTTGGGAGATGTCACTACGGCTATGGATGTTGATGCTGTCGATTCCAATGTCGTAGATGTGCGACAATCACCCGAGGAGTTACTGGACGGGATGAGAGATCACTATCTGCAGGTTCTCTATGTTTCAAAGGTGATGTGCTCTACTCGATATTTGGACGTTGCCCGACTAATATTTTCTAGACTTCTGTGGCGTACTTTGCGAAGGGCCCGTTAACGCGCTGTCGGGCTTCTTTCCAGGCTCGTGACTCAGAGCAGCCTCAGGGTTCGAAGGAGCTAATTGAATCCTACCGTGAGGCTATCCTCGCTACAAAGAAAATGGACCTCAAATACAAAGAAACATTACCGTCGACAATTCGCGATGCAGTTCTTGCGCTTTCTGACGATGGCGCGAAATCTAAGAAACGGAAGAGCAAGAAAAAAAAGATGGGCAAGAACGGTCTTTACCCAGAGGAGGAAGGATTCATCCACAGGTGGTGGAAGGATAGAATCTTAAATGAGTGTCCTGCGCAAGAATCATCGCGTGAAGCAGAATCTAAGAAACAGATTTCAGATCTCCGGCTGCGTGAGACTCAATTGCAGATCTTGCTAATTTTGGAGGTCATGGTGTTGGAAATGACTATTGCTTCGGTAGAGAAAAACAACACTGACAAGGAGAAAGATGCAAATGGGGTGCAAGATACGTCGAAGAAAGCCAAGCCTAAGAAGCCCACGGATTTGAACGTGCTGCTTGAGCTCCATCTCGATCGGATGTGCATTTGGCACGCCGTGACGATGGAAGAAACGTCTGCCGCCGATACAGCAAAAGCTTCTCCTTTCAATAACAGCCATCTTTCAGGCAAGAAAGTCGAGAGCGATGCGGTGCGTGACTTCTGCACGGAAGTCATCATTCCATTCTATGCTGCCCGTCTCCCGGACAAATGCAAGTTGATCACCCGCAAATTTGGCGTATCTGGCGGTATCTCCCCAGCTGCTAAGAAGATACAATCTTCGAGTAAATCACACCGCGTGGAACCTGGGGCGGAAGTCAAGCGACAACAGCCTGCACCGAAGCCCCGACGAACATTGCAGCGAGTACTTACGGACGATAAAGCGGCAGCGTCCCATTCTCGGCACCCAGGCCTACCTCGATCCAATACTGCACCGAGCCAGCATAATGCGACACGCGAAATTGAACCCTTGCTGCCCACTGTTCTCAGTGGCAGTGTCCGGGGCGGCATACAGAAAGCAAAACGCACGGAAAACCGCGAGGTTGATCTTAATGCCGTAGCACGACAGCATGAGACCAAATTGAGAAAAGTCCAAATGCTGGCCAACCAGAAGAAAGAGCTGGATGCTGCTATTCATGCTCTTCGGAAGCCGAACAGAGAGCTCGTCTCCAAGGATCTGGCAGACGATGCGTCAAAACGGGTTATAAGCGGCGGCGGCAGTTCAAGAAAGTCAAGAAACCCCGTGCGCAATCCATTCGGCGAAGGTGTACAGGTGATGGCGACTCCTCGAGGCAATCGAAGGAAGGACGCGGTGGTCGGGCTACCGTCGCTCCCTCGTAGTCTGGCCCCATCCCGGTCATTTGCCGGTGTGGAAAATTCTCCTTTTGGCGAGTCTCCCACCATGATCCCATCCTCAAGTCGACGGGCGATCTCATTCTCTGGCGCCAACTCCGACCCTTTCAATTCTCATGACAATCCAAATGATGGACGAAGCCCACGATCAAGTCAGCCGGACGGAGCTATTCAAGAAACTCCAACTAGACCATCTTCCAAGATTTTCCAGAGTGATACCATAGCTGCCCGTCGGCCATCATCCTCCACTGGCAAAGGTTTGTTCAGGGTGCCCAACCTTCCAGCGCCTCGATCATCCACACAACCAATGGTCCCAGGCTCCCCCATCCATTCACGCCCTCGGGATATCTCCGCATTCGCGGAAAACTTGTCAAAGTCATCTCGACAATTCAGCCAGTCTCTCGATCACGCTCGCGCCTCATCGATCATGGAGACACCGCCCAAAAGACAAGCACCGCAGAGTATATCTACTCCCACTGCTGTGCCATTTTCTCTATCGCTTGATGCCATGGTTACCGATAATCCTCGCGCTCACTCCCCACCTATGGTCATTGGAACCCCCGTCAAAGGCGCCACAGCTGTGCCCGTAACGCCTGATAAATCACAATCCAAGTCGATATACGAACAGTTAGGCTGGGACGACGAGATGGAGTTCTAATATCCTAATTTCCGATGCATCCACGCCCGAAATGCACTTCGTCCTCACGTGTCATGCATTTATGCGGAGTTTTTCTGTGCTGATTTGCTGGTTTTGCTCTGGTGTGTGTTATTTTTCTATTTTATTTGTACTGGTGTTCAATTACACCCGGAGTTTGAGTCGGCTGTAGCACTGACAATGGCGTGCATTGTTGAATTCTTTTTGGATATATCCCCATCACTGCATTATCTTAGCTTTTTCATACTCATAAACATAGCAATACGTTCTATCCATGTCTCAGGCGAGAGAGAAAAAAGTGTTAAATATCCCGTACTATTGTTCATTGGGGTTGAACTGCATAAGATGCCTGAAGTGAGATTGAATTGAGACACAACATAAATTTCCAGGAAATTAGACCCCATATCTAAAGGTTCTAGCTTGGGATTTTGCACCCTAACTCGTGTTTCAGGTAGAGTGTACGAATAAGCACATTACAATGTAATTCTGTACTTCGTACTCCGAGGACTGCCAAAAGACTGCCAAAAGACCAAATATATATAACAAGGCCGCACAATTGACCGGCTATTCTTGTACACTCTACGGAATACACTAACCTGTCTATTTTATTTGGCCTAGTGGAAGTCAATTGCAACTAGAGCGCCACTAGATCGATCTTGGCTTGATCTAAAAGGGCCTTACGTGGTCGCCCTGATAGGCTCCACAGTGAAGGCAGTCGTATTCGGTTTTGTTGGACGGAAACTCCTGAAAAGGGCAACTAGTCGAGTTGTAAATAGTCCACTTTACTTCACCTCCACATTCACCTTTTGGATATGATATCTGAACCTTTCCAAACTTTCCAACACAAATCCGATGATGCTTACGAGAATTCCAAGGAATCAGAGATCTGCACATATTCTGTGCCACTCAGTCCGGTCATGAGCGAACAACACCATCACAAGGCTCCGAACCACAGCCGACCTCTATTATACGTCCCCAATACACTATGGACGCGATTATTTGCAGCAACCGTCATTACTGAGACCGTCCTCACAGTGGCAATTGAAAGGTAGGGGTCCGACCTCGAATACCAGTGCCTTCTCGGACTTGGAGCTTATGGGGAAAAATTAGCTGGATACTGATGAGCTTGTGGGACGACCTCGACGACGACAGCAAAACAAACGGACAAATGCGCCTCCAGTCATTCCTAGGCCTATACATTTTCGCTCTGCTATACGAATTGGCTCTGTCATATGATGCACTGCGTCGGAGGAACACAATCCAGTTGGTCGGACTCTGCATCTGTAATCAGGGCCTATTCGCATTTGGCATCCTTCAGATGCGGGAGATCAACGATACTATCGCCACCTTGGCCGATAAAAGCCTCAGCGACCATCTGCAGGAATTATATAAAATAGAACTCATTCTTGTCCCGGTGTTTTTAGGTACCGGGACTCTGTGCATGAGCTTTTTTACGTGGAAGTTGCGCGCGGAGTTTTCATGGTCTATATACAAGAATATCAGCGCGGACTTGCAGATGAAGCGTCGATATTTCGTTTATCAGGTTTGTTGCGACAATGCTGGCAATGTCCTTTGTTCTACGACTGACCCAATCCTTTTCAGGTGTATATCGCTCTCCTGAAGTTCGATTTCTTCTTCGTATTCGGAAGTCAACTCCAAATCCTCCTTGTCGTCTTTCAAGCCCAAGACATGGATTTTATTATCAATGCCACTGTGATCCCAATCACGATAATGACTCTAGTCCTCTCAGCTCAATTTTGCAAGCGTGAGAAAACGAAATCTCTCATACTCATGATGGTGAGTATTCTCGAGTGCGAAACAATATCCGACTTTTAAACTAACCAATCATTCAGTTATTTATGCTTCTTATAATTGGATTCCTTGTCCTCATCCTCATTCGAATTCACAGCAGCGCGGAGAGCACTGATTTCAGCTCTTTCCGGGTGTCCCTGACATTATTTGCGGCAGTCTCAGCACTTTTGATGGTTCTCACAGTCATCAACTCCGTGCTGTGTATCATGAATTTCAATAAAGGGTTGAAGAATCACGTCTTCTCCCCCAAAAAGCGGAAAACCTCTGTCTCGTTGGAGCTCCAACCCCAAGAGACATCTACGCGCTTCCTGTTGAACTAAGTATACTGACTCTACGACTTACTGCCCTTCTCTTTTGTGTATAATACCCTGATTATTCCATGTACGTATAGACTTGATTTACAAATTTGGTGACTCGACCACTTACTTCCTCTGCCACTTCTTGGCTTTCTCTTTCCGTTTCAGTACTCACCTCTTGCTGCTTTTTGGTCAGTAAATATGAGCACGTTCCTGAGATGAAAGTATAAGGGGAAACTTGTTTTGATATCGTGCTATGGGGTTGATGCTGTCTCTGTTAGTCCACGCTCAAGTCGCGTTGCCTCATCCAAAACCGTCATTAATTTCTCCCCTTCGCCTTCATTCAACGGAAGAAATGGATTTCGCGGAGCAATTCCATACCCATAGCATCCACAACATCCATCAACATATGCTATGAACTAGCATGATATGGTTAAATCGAAACAATGAGTAGTGTTTTGTTGTTCAGTTGTACCATATACCATCATGTATATATTACGTAATTACCGAGTTAGTCCTAATTAAGGGTGTCACGTGACTATTGTTTACTTTAGCTTAGGTAATTCTGAGTCAACTAGTTAACTAGTTAAGGTGTAAAGCTAACTAACTATCGAACTAATTGGGGAAAAATCGGCTCTATATTTTGTACTGAATGGAGATTTCCAAGGTTGATATCATAATTTATAACTTTGAAATCTTTCAAAACTCCCGTTGATCGTATTTTCCGTTCATGATTGGGCGGACCGGCGAACTGAACATTTGCCGAACACCTCTCCCAACTCGCCTGGTTTTCTCCAGCAAAAGCACTCTATTTACAATTCGAAACCAGCTTATGGATCAAGATGTGCGCTGAATCCCAGGGTACACCCAGTCGGTCTAGTCAACACACCACTCCTCACACCACAAGACCCAAGAAAAGAGCTGTGGCGTGAGTATGTTCAAAAGCGGCAGCAAACTTCTGCTCACCACTTTCACAGTTGTCATCGGTGTCATGCGCAAAAAATCAAATGCTCCGGAGAAAAACCTTGCTCCAAATGCCGAGTTGCAGGTTACGAAGCGCAATGCAGATATGCAACCCGAGATCGCAAAATACGGGTGGATGAAAGGTGTCCATGTTCTTTGGTCGCTAGTCTTGAAATGCGTCACTAACTTCAATAACCGATAGCTATTTGGAGCAACTTCTAAAAGATAGCCAAGAGCTGCATGACCGACGCCATCGTTTGAAACAGGAAAGCCGCTCGAACAGACAAGAGCAGAGCTCTGGTCCCCAGCAAGTCTACGGGAATACGGCGACTGAGAACTCTGAGCCCCTGGCACAGAGTAACCTTCTTAGCGAGAAGCCGTGGTTTCAGTCCAACGATGCCTCGGTGGTTCCCCTTTACATCAGCGAGGCAACTTGCGCTGCATTTGCCACTCGTCTGTGCCAAGCATTGAAAGGGACCAACACGCCGACACCTCATCTTCCAAGATCCCGTTATACTGACGAGTCCGCAATATCATCTTTACTCCACACAAATGTACAATGGCCCGGCCTTGTAAGTGCGCAGCTGTTGGTGAAGACCGCACTTGGCCACATCGTCCCAAGCTTCCATTTGGCATTGAAAAAAGACACATTGGACATGCTCCATGGCGTCTATCAGAGGGGTGACTTCGATAATCCAAGCATCAAGTGCAAATACTTTGCTCTTTTTGCCATCGCCCAAGTCTTTTCAACTCCTCATGATCTTTCTGACACCTCGAATGTACCTGGCTTGGCCTATTTTGCCAAAGCGTGGAACCTGATACAGATCGTCCCCGAGCGACCAAGCATGATTCATATAGAATGTTTCCTCTTGATTGTCAGTCCCCTTTTCAGCAGCCACCTCAGCTCTTGCTTACTCTCTATAGGCCTTCTTCTACCAATTTTTGAACCGCTTTCACTCCGCCTACCTTTTGATCGGAAATGCATTACGACTCGGCCTCAGCATGGGCCTAAACTATAATATCCCGCAAACCCAAAATCTACACCCAGTAGCACGAGAACACCGCATTCGGATATGGTGGACTATCTACGTTCTTGACCGATTCTGGGGCTCTAAGTCGGGATTCCCTGTGCAAATCCACGACGAGGACATCCATGTCGATCCACCGTCCATTTCGGCATCTGAAACATACAGTGACCAATTTTTAGATGGCGCTTACCAAGTGGCGGCAATCGAACTTGCCAAAATTATTGGTGACACAACAGGAGAGATATACTGTCGGAAGATTTCGGCCGAGACCTTTTTGCATCGTGAACAGAGCCTCTTGACTCAATTGAAACAGTGGGTTCAGTCTCTTCCTGGGCATCTGAGACTCAATACGGAAAGGCCAAACTCGAAACATACAGTTCAAATGCATCTACAGTTCAATTTCGTAAGAGCATCACACACTCTCTTGATCCCTTCCAGCATCAGACACTGACTAGTTTAGTGTGTCATCCTGGCAATTCGACCAGTCCTCCTCCATGTCCTCACTTTACGAATGAAAAACCAAACCAATCAGTCCATGGATTCCATCTCACCCATTCTGATCACTTTAAGCGAGGCATGTATACACGCAGCAAGACACTCGCTAGCATTATGTGTAAATGAATGGACCGGCGGATCCCTGGCAATATTTGGCTACTCATTTCCTGCCTACCTCTTCTCTGCCGCATTAGTCCTGGTGATTTCAAGTCTTCTGCCACTCGGAGATCCAAGTGATTTGACATCGGCCGAAACCGCAACAGAAATACTCAGGAATCTCAGCTTATCTGATAATCTCGCGTCGAGGGACCTATACGAACGCATGCAGCGCGTGCGCCAGTGTCTCCACGATAGTCCGCTGTATTCTTCGTCGGCACTTTCCCACGGTGTTGTGGACAATGTTGCCAATATGTTGCCGATGGCTGAAGAATCGGATTCCGGATCATTACGACGACGCCGAAGTTCAAACAATCTCCAATCCTTCATTGGGCCTCTGGAAGATTTGGGTCATCCACTTTTCGAATCGAATGTCCCATACCTCACTGCGGAAATGGCTCTACACCAACCAACCATGCTAGATTTTTTGACCCAGTCTCACATGGACTTTGGACTGCTTGATCCAGTGGAGATGTTCAATGATTTCGATTTCGCCTTCTCAATGTCTACCAATTGATGCCTGGATTAATACTCAGATATGCATTTTCCGATTTATCATCTAGCCGCCTTGGATTTGGCCGTTCAAACATGGACCGCACCGCAGGTAAGCGACGTCGGCCATTTTCAAGTTGGCCGTAGATCCCCACTGATCGGAATTATAGCAGACAAACGAAGAAGTCCTATTGTTTGACAGAATACATTCTTGTCTCTCATGTTCTATCCATGGCTTCCCTTTCCAACTATACCTACTCATTCTTATGCGTCTCCAAGATACACAGAATCAGCGTCTCGGCGCAGAGATCCCGAGATCCCTAGATTTATGTCTAAAAGCGTTCAAGGCCTCGCCTGGCTCATTCGCAGCAACCTACGAGGTTGAACGAGGTTGAATCCGTCTTTACGGACGCCGAGTGGGTAGACCGCATTACCATCCCTGATCGCGAGGTCTTCATTTGTGTCGCCACACCACTCCACCATGATGGTCCACGCTTGTCGAGGCTCTCGTCACAGATGGAGATGAATATCTTCTGCCAGAGGATCGGAATGGGTTGGTTATGGTTTCTTGTATATCGCGTTCATGATGTATTTTTATGTGAAACGGCAGATAGAGTCTATGGACGGTTATACGTATTGTGGGAGGTGATACTACAAGGACACTAACATTTTCAGCAAAATAAACAACTTCTCATTGGCGTAAAATATATATTCCTAGATTGGATTCAGGATGCGGAGTAAAAGTGTGGGGTGATGATCGGTTAATAGCTCTGATGTCTCACGTCGCCTCCTCTTCAGAGACTCGATATTTAACCGTAGTCAGCTGTGCTATCTTGTTTATATTCTCTAAGCTTTTTTTTTTTTCCACTTTATCAAGCCAATACTCGTGGCGAAGAGCCTGCCTCGGCCTTAGCTTTCACATAATGAAGTTCAACACGAGATTCATGTTATTTTCTGTTGCCGTGCAAGCATACGATGATGCACTTGGTTTAAGTAATGGCTATACGTCTTTATCCACAGCCAACTTTGACATCAAGTTAGTCAAGGATTCCCAGGTCCTCGCCTCTCTCAAGCCAGCAGGCGAGTCTTTCGACTTCTTGCCTTTCGAGGATATCGCATACAGAGCGGCAAATGGCCAGTATCATAATGGGGACATTGCATATCGCTATCGACTGTCGGGTTCAACGCGGTGGATTTCAGGCGACTCATCAAAAGCAAGAAGATCTTTGAAACGTGTCAAGTCCGATGCGCTTGCCGCCGCTGAGATGACACAAACCTTACCAACCTCTCCTATCAATATTATTCGGAAATGGATTGATATTGACGGCGATCTCGGGTTGACCTTTACTTTAACCAACAAGGCCAATCAGACACTGGAAATTGGCAGCCTGGGCTTCCCGACCGAATTTAACAGTATATTCTCCAACCGTACAGCAGAAGATATGGTGGCCAAGTGCTCTCTCACAGATCCATATATTGGGATGGACGCTGGGTATCTTCAGGTAAACCCCACGTCTGGGACCGGGGCATCGTTAGTTGTTACCCCGTTGCTCAACACAAGCACTCCACTGGAAGCATGGCGAAACCTAGACGAACCTAGCCTCGAACCTCTCTATTACGGCAGTCAAACATTTGAGGGATTCTACGAATGGCAGACTCACACTAAAGCCTATGCTGAGAATGAGTGGTCTGGTGTCACCCCATGGAACGAGCCTAGCTCTCGAACTATGAGCCCAGGTGAATCAGTGACCTACGGGTTGCGATTTACGGTCGTAAAGAGCGGTGTGCGTGGTATACAGGATGCAGTCAAAGCCACCAACACGCCTGCCACGCTAGGTATTCCTGGATACGTGGTACCAGTTGATCTAACAGCTCGGCTTTACATCTTTTACTCCCGAATATCCGAGGTCGTGTCCGAGGACAACTCCTTTGAAATAACCCAAGGTGCAAATGGCATTCTATCACTCACCCCAACTGGCTTGGTTTGGGGTCGAACCAAGGTAACCATCACATATGAAGATGGGAAAGTCCAAACAATACACTACTTCATTACGGACTCAGCACCAGCAACAATCAGCAGATTAGGCGAGTTCACTACCACGTCAATGTGGTTCAATGACACAAATGACCCATTCCATCGAGCTCCATCAGTTATGACATGGGACCACTCAATCCAAGCACAAGTCCTCCAAGAACCCCGAGTCTGGATGTCCGGGCTAAGCGACGAAGGCGGCGTGACTTACTTGGCCAGCGCAATGAAACAATCTGGTCTAGCCGATGCGACAGAAGTGTCAAAACTCGAGCAATTTGCTTCCGATGTTCTGTCTAAGACCATCCAAAATACAGACTTCACCGTCCGCAAGAGTATATTCTTTTACGAGCCCGCTCAATTTCCTGAACACACATACAATCAGACTCTCGACTGGGGCAACTGGTGGTCGTGGAATAAGGATGATTCCTATGCTACGGACCGTGCCTATGACTATATCCATGTGATCGGGACATACTGGGCGTTGTATCGTGCAGGTCGAGATAACGGGTCGCTTCTGAAAACACACACTTGGAAGTGGTATCTCAGTCAAGCATACAACACTACAGTGACCTGTTTCGGTACGGACTCGGGTGGAGATGGGCTTGTGGGGTACTCGCGTCTCGGACTCATGGGCGAGACTGTCATTGGTGAGCTTCTATCGGATTTGAGGCGCGAACAGTGGACTGCCGAGGCCAACTCTGTGGAGGCTGCTATGAAGCTTCGCGCTGAGGCATGGGATACACAGGATGTTCCCTTTGGCAGTGAGATGGCTTGGGACTCGACTGGCCAAGAGGGAGTCTATTACTGGAGCAAGTAAGTTCTTGCTCTTTGGGGACCTTTCTAGCAGCGATACTTGATCTGTTAACATTTAATTTAGCTATTTCAATCTGACCAACACGGCAACTAAGACAATCAACAGCATCCTGGGGTATATGCCCACAGTTCCACACTGGGGATGGAATGGGAATGCCCGACGATATTGGGACTTTATGTAAGATCCAGCTTAATCTTTTGCAGTTGATATTTTCTTGACTTGTTTTTCGTTGCTAATCTCCCGTCCAGCTATGGGGGCAAGCTACAACGCATCGAGCGAATGATCCACCACTACGGATCAAGCCTCAATTCACTACCCCTGCTATCCCACTTCCGCCAGAATCCAACGGATATCCATCTCCTCCGAGTTGGCTATGGCGGAATAACAGGACCACTATCCAACATCCGACAAGATGGCTCGATGTATAATGCTTTCCACTCCTTCCCTGATACCTTACAAGGCGACGACTATTCAGGTGATTACGGTCCCAACTTCCTGGGTCTGATGCTTGGGTCTGCCGTGTACATTGTCGATGATCCCGATGCCGGGCTTACCGCATATTGTGGGAATATCGCTACCAATGGAAACACGGTCACCGTGGAGCCACGAGATGCTGTGCGGCGTCGGGTGTATGTTGCACAGATGGGAGTATACGTCACGACCAGCGCTGGATTGATAAAAGAGGTTTCGTTTGATATTTCCTTACCGACGTCTCTTCAACTACTTATTGTTCCTGGCCCGTCCGATGTTTCTTCTGTTATTGTTTGGGTTGAAACTCCAGGTACAGTGGATGATTATGCTGTGGTCGGAGATCAATTGCAACGCACGAGAGAAGGCTGGAATGTCAAATTTGTCTCTGGAGAAGCGAATGTGGTTGTTTCTAAATTGTGATTTACGGTGAATACAGATACAAATGTATATTCCGCATACGATGTATCCCAGTGAAATGGGGGAATTACAATACAATACCCCAATACTCCTCATACGGAATCTACGGGTGACTATAGGAATCACCTCACATAACTCTCTCATTGGTCTATATTGCCAGGCAGTAACTGAGGCCCAGTTATATAGTTAGTAGTAATATTGAACCTAGGTGATGCCTTATAATGCCTTAGAATCGATATATAAAGAGACAACCAGAAAGACAACTAGAAAGATAACAAGAAATACCCTAAGAAGAACATCCAAAAAAGAAGATCTAGTAAGATGTCAGTGTATGTAAAAGAGAAGGTGTAAGGCACTAGCCAATGAGAGAGTTATGTGACTGTGATCCCTATAGTCGCCCCTACAAATCAACTATTCAGCCGCAAAGTTCGTGCAGGATCACTTGATCTATTAATGCAGACTTTTACTGATTGGGGGATGCATAATTTCTTGCATATTCACCTATTTGGTCTCACATACATCCCAGTTTTGCTGGAAGCCCCTTCAATCATAATAATATAATATAATTCCATTTAGTTGGTCACTCCATAAATTACCGAATCAAATTTCCATTACTCCGTATACGCTATCCAAATTGCTCACCTGGAAGTTGGCGCTGCAACCGAGGATATCGTGACGGAGGGCGTGCATGGGACGGTAAGGAACTGCAAGGAGGCTACGCTAGAGACATTTGGGGGACCGTGTACATTGTCGGATATGACGACTATGATATTGTGTTTGGAGAAGAGGAAGATAAATGTGGGATATAATTCTGCCTGGTCTTATTCATGGTATGAAGAGGATGAGATAGAGGAATTGGGGTCAGGTCAAGGCCAAAATATAAGGGATCAGATGGTACGTGAGAACTACGACATCCAAACAACCCTTCGCTGTTTATCAATCTACTATGTACTCAAAAGTATGTGTGCATCGACACTTCTAGGCCCATTCATTACCTTACCCACTTTTTCGCCAAACTGCTAGCTGATGGTTGGGCCAAGCAAACTAACGTCATCCATAACATCACCGAGCGATGTTAGGTAGTTGACGTCGATCCTGGTCCGAACAGTTCCCCCACAGGTCGAGAGTTTATCGAGGGGATAAACTTGATACGGGGAATGGATGAGATGCCAGCCAATCGGGGCAGATCCGCTTGAACGCGTTTACAACATACGGTAGCTTTACGGGCCTGGGGATCATTATGACTATCGCTGTGCTAGAAGGGAATGTCAGATGTTCCTTCGGCCGAACAATGGCTAAAGTTCTATAGTGACGTCCTCCAGGACTTTGTATATACGAGTGTAGGTTTGGTGTTCTGTTCTGTGTGCTGTATGGCTTCCCGCGTTTTCCTTTCTTGTTTTCTTGTTCTTATAACTCAATTTGGTTCAAGGTTGACGGACATAGGTTATATATATCGATAGCCATTTGCCAATTAGGTGTACTCCGTAAGACTAGAACATATCGTGTTGGAAAGGGTTTCCGTATATAAGAATGTGACACGATGGTGAAAACTGAGCCGATCGGCGGGTAAGTGGCAAATCAGCATATTTCCACCAAACATAATTCGTCTCCAGTTTCCTTTGGATTCCATGAGGATCATGGTTCCACACCCCAATTTCTCGGGTTTGGGGCCTGCGTTAGTTCTCCATTGATATTAATATAGATTGAAGATCAGGATTCTATGCTTGGGTATGTATCATGTGACCGGGGTTACGCGGCAGGTGAGTCACTTCGCTTGACCTTCCGACTTAGGCGTCCAAGAATAGAGTCATGTGGGGAATTTGGGGAAGTGAAGATTTCAAAATGAAAAAAGGAATAGTTAACGAATTCCTATGCTGATATTATTATTCGAGTTCTTACGGTGGAATCGGCAAGGTAGATTGTCCAGCAAAAAAAAAAAAATATTATTGGTTTCTTGGGAATTATGTAAAGTGACATATTGTAAAAAAGTAAAGTTATGTACAAGGGTTCCTTTTAGTGTGTTCATTATGGGTCATCAAATCGTAATATCGTGTTGGTTGTAGAGGATGAGGAGAAAAGGTCGGTAGTCGAGAGTGTGTAGGAGAGAAAGGATATTAAAGAGCGAAGGCGGGTTCAACCCGCGATTGGGGAAACCATGCAAGATCCCCCTGTCCATAGGTGTTTGGAGGTCGCCTCAAGACAATTGCGACCCTTTTCCAAAAAACCATGCTCGGTGGAATTTTCAGGCGTCGTTGGTGATGCCGGGGCTGCCGGGGTTGCCACCACGGCGACGGGCTCTGATTTTATTGATATTTGTTCGGTGGCTTCGACTGGAGTCTCGTTGGCCGGAGCCCTGTTCCTGAGGACAGGCAGTTCTGTGTTGATCTCATCCACGTCGTCTTCATCATCGGTGTCTTCAAAATCAAATGAGCTGATGCGAGACTTCATATCATTCTCGGTCCAGGAGACGGAACCACAGTGCAGGCGAAAGTGAGCCACGCAGCGGCGAAGGTCGGGGTCTGGTGCGGTAGCTTCACGAGCGAGTTTCTCTTTGGAAAGGTGTGTGAGCTTGTAAGGAAGGGCATTTCGGTTTGCCATAGGGGGCCAGCGTTTATTTTGGATAATTGGCACGGAGGCGGTTGGTTTCGGAGTCTTGGGAGTTTTTTGTGTAGTGCCAGTGTTCATGTTGTTGTTTTAATATGGGGTGATCATAGACTGGGGTGTGAAGAAGATTGTATAACCCAGGTAGATTGAAATATGTGATATGTGATATGTAATTTGACTGGGAATTGGGAGGGGAAGTCCAAAAGAAAAAGGGTCAAGAGAAAAGATGGGAATAACGAAGTCTTATACCCGGAAGAAATAATGGGGGAACTTGGTCCAAGCGCCTTTCTCTCGAGGTGCCGTGTCACCAGATCACACGAAACCGGTTCCAGACCTCTCTGATGGGTCGTCCTGTCTTTTTCCTCTTTTTTTTCTTTTTCCTTGTTTTGCCCTCTTCTTATGACTTGTCTATTATTTTTTTAAACTCTTTTACCCCAGAAAATGAATCAATTATTTATTAATTTATTTCTAATTTGATCATTTTCCCCAGTCTAACATAGAGGGAAGAAGAAAAAAAAAAGGGATTTCCGGTGTACAAGAGTAGCGGCTATTCGGACCCTCTAAAATGGATGGGCCCCAGTTATTTTGATCATTTGATGCTTCGAAAATTTTTCGGTGGAGACTCTTCTGCGGAGCTTATCTTGCTTATTCGCCCCTAAAAGAAAGAAAAAGAAGGGAAAAAAGGAAAAAAAAGGAAAATACAAAAAAACGTTGCATGGGGAAACTCACGATCCCCACGGATTACTCTCCTTGGAAATCCGAACCCCCTCATCCTTCGACGTTTGCATATTTATATGAAAAGAGAAGGGGAAAAAAAAGACTGGCTCTCAACTTTTATTTCTCTTTTCCCTCTAAATAAAAATAAAATGCAAAATCTTTCTTATATAGAACTCTGATTACCAAGGCCGATTTCCCTTAGAACACCCGTGGACAGCCCATCGTTAGGTGACTCAGCAAGCCCTCTAGTCCCGGCCAACCCTGGATACGATAAAACATTCAGTTCTTCTTCTTCGAACCCAAGAGATCACCGCATCAAAATTAATAATAAGTGCCCCAAGCACCCATCCTGTCCCCGTGAGCATAATAATGTGCTGGACAAAGAAGATCCGTACACCGACAAGTCCAAACATTCCACATGCGAGTGTTGAATATGCCCCTCCTGACGATCTTTTGGAATCCGCCGAAGACGGCTCTGATCCTTAATCGTCTGGTTACAATACCCGTGCAACGGAGGTGCTCCAGAACCCCCGCTGTAAACCTACACCAGCTCCTTCCGTGGACACCAACCAAATAAGCCAAAAAAAAAGGTGGCGCCCCAAGTTAATCCGTCGACTCCATATGAGTTTATCCTTCCAACGGAAATAAAGCAGTGGTAAATTATCCTGCCGATACTTCCTATTTCACTACGGCCCCGCTTGGAATAAAAATAGGAAGCCAAGAAGAAAAATACAGGGGTTCTCTTCGGTCTATTGTAAAACCTGAAGCCACACATAATGAAATATATAATAAAAAATCGTACAATAAACTTACAGATTAGGATGCAACGCCGTTGATGGCAAGTGAAACAAAAAAGGGGGAAGAAAAAGATGGCCAGATCTACTGCAGGAGACCCCACTAATTTCAACATGTTTAGAGCTATTGCAGCCACCAAGCCCGAAAAGTCGAAGTCTAGAATCTCTTATATAAAAGGCTGGGCACTTGGAGATGCTTGGAAAGCAGGTTCTGTCCCCGCTACTACACGTTGGTGGGGCCCACAATGCTTCTAGCGCCAGCGCCTCGAACTAGTTCGCGTCGCTTTACAAAGTAAACTAATGAATTGTCAGCCATTTGGGCCATTTGGGCGGTGCATCCCCTAACGAGGTACGGAGTAACTGATGACTTGTCTTTACGGTCGCAGCTAGAAGTTTCATGTAAAACAGCACATTGCTATCAGGGGGCATCTACAATCAGCGAAATATCAGTCTCAAACCGGAACATCATCATGTGAAGACGCAGACCGTCGACCATAAGTGATCATCAGTCGATACTCCATACTCCGTATTCCGTACACATAACCACAATAACGATCCGATGCGCAGTGTACTGCGGGCTTACGTAGTTGCTCCTAATTATCTAAAACAAGCTGCTAAAACAAGCTGGTCCTGCCATGCTACTGGACCCTTTGCATGTTATCCTCAGTTTCCTACGGCTTGTGTCTCGGTAGAGTTGGCATCCAGACCCCGCACCTTCGCCCTCGGTTCACAACATTGTTGCATTCTAGCATTCTAGCACTACAATGTAAAGTTCACCCCCTTACTACAACATACATTCGAAATATCAGTCCAGTTGTTTTGCTCCGTGTTGATACAGATAGACAGTAACTTAGGCGGCTCTGCTTAGGTCCCCAGCCGTTCTGCGGGAAATCCGCACTTGGCCACCACTCTATTTACAGCCGCCCTCCTAAACCTCAACCTAATATTTGTTTTTCGGTCTGTGCGTTCAGGCATAATTTCTGACACTCTTATTGTAGACCGACAATTGTATTGTTGTCGATGTCGCTTCTCGAGATAGACTTTTATCCTACCGTGGTTCGGATCCGGCCCGGCTGTCTTACCAGGATCTCTATGCTGAGTCTCTCCTTCCTCCTTCCTTTCTGACAAGGCAAAACTCCTTGGACATGGAAAGAGCCGAGAACTCTAACTATAGTGCTGTTCCATGGACGATATACAATGACATTGACTCCTACCTAGCTCTTTCGGGTGTGCGGGTCTCTGTGTCTTTGTCTCCCTCCCCAGTTCTTATATATCAGGCCTTTTTCCGGGATGGCTACGGTAACTCAACCATCAAATTAATCTATCCTTTGAATATATAATATCTTTAAAAATTTCATCTCTCAATTCATCGTTCTTACGCCGTGGAGATAGATATCCCGCCTTTATCCATTGCCCCGTCTTTGATGGGTTTCTTATGATTGAGACTCGATTGAACCACAGCTATCTACTTCGGAATATCGCTGCTTTTTGATGCTTTATGAGAATCATGGTACGTTCGTACGTGCAACACACATCATACATTGTATCTTGCAAAGACAGTCATATCCTACTGTAGATCCCAAGAAAGAATGTCTACTACGTACACACAAACTCCTACTAAGCCAATCGTGTAACATCTCCCTTGAATACTGCATGCCCAGCATAAACTACTGCACGACGCCCGATGGGCCTTACAAAAAACCCCTCTCCTAGGTTTAGCGGATTTCACACCCTGCAGATCTTACTTGGTCTCGTCTCTGGGTCACGAGCACTCTACCCCGGGCACTTCCGGCTACTGCTGTTATTGCAGCCCAAAACAATTAACGAATCTGATTCAGGCTAATGCATGCACACAGGCTTGAGAACTTGCTCATCAATGCCCTAGAAAGGTCTCGTCTCCGGGTATCTGGCATACTGCTGCAACTAAGCCAGTTGCTGGGCTTACTAGGGTATACAATACACACAATGCAGCAGAAACAGCGACAAATATAGCTATAAGCGCCGTTGGAGTAAATCCTCGTCACATAGTAGTGGGTCAGGACAGAGCCCCAGCCAAATCGATAAGCGCAGTCTCTCGGAGTTACATAGTATCTGCAGTCTTCATTGTTACGTTCAAACGCCACAAAAACAACTTTCCTGATTTTCGGGTTTGGGATTAGCCCGTATTGCATTGTAGATCTGCGCGCCATAGTATACAGTATGAATCAAGCACTGCTGTGTATCCCAATGTACAACTATAGTCGCCTGTTCCAGTCACATTAACAGCCACGAGTCAAACTAGTCTATATAAACAGACAAGCACACTATTCCCGGTTTTCTAAAAGGTTTGAGGGCTTGGATAGATCTAAAGCTATGATATCACCACTTCAGAATAACGCGTGGCCCCGACACGCAACTCTCAAGGCAGCCTCAAGCATACTCATTATATTAAGTTGGAAGTAATTCCCCAATTCGCGCCTTGCTTATGATATGTGAGTATATATGCATCTTACACGTGCTTCTGTCTGTTTTTTTCTCTACGCAAGTCATAACTGCTAGTTCTTGGAATTACCACCACCACTATCAGAAGCACCATGGGCTAGATTGAGACACAATATGCGTGCGTGCGTCCCCTACCCATCGGACGACAGCAAGTTACCTCCAGAAATCCAAACACTTAGCTTCCAAAGGCGTGGTGATAGCCACTCTCCGGGGATCTGTTATGTCCTAACTCTTGGTCGGAGCTATATTTTCCCCTCGTTGTCAATAGTAGAGGGAAACTATGTTATAATCAAAGGCTCCACATAGAAAAGTCTCTTGCACAAAGTAATGCTTTTTTTTACCACCTCGTGTACACCCAAAAAGGCATATGAGAGACATCCGAGAAAAACATCTAAAAAAAAACATGGCAAGGTCGCATAAGCGGTCGACATTTCTAGTGTTGCATCAAGAGGGAAATATTCTAAACTTTGCTCAGAGATGGAGTAAAAAAGCAAATTGGTTGGAGACGCTATTGGATATATCCACTTTAATATTCTCAATACCTTGTTGTGCTGACGAATTATGTTCTCTTCAGCTTATATCTGTGTCAACTAACTGGCCTCGGATGTGATCAATATGTGTATGTCTCCAGGAATGTAAGGGTGGACAATGATACAGCTTGGAAGTGACCAGGAGGTGACGGTAAAGCGGTTGTCGTCAGTTGTCTTTGAATTCACATTGCTTACCGCCCATTTCTGTTCGATGAGATTGATAGGGACATATTATCAGATGTACGTATTTGTCGACACCCAGCCGGCGAAGAGTAAGTACATAACCCAATAGATCTGCGTAACAAAGAACAAAAACGCCACTCGGCGCGAGTTGACGGTTCACAAAGTCAATACCAATCCTTTGTTTAAGGTGGTAATTAAGAAAGCATGTTGCATCCGGAACATAGCTCGACTTGGCCCATTCGCTAAAGGACACAGGTGGATTATGCAAGGCTTAAACTAGGCGTCCACGAGAGAATAGAGATCCAGTCTTTCCCTATTGGAACTACAGGGTCACCCTGTGCTCTGTGAGCCTGGCATAGATCCTGACATTTGTGTG